TAAGCTACCACTCGCTAACTAGCCAATGCTAGTTGAAGAACACAGTTGGCTAGCGCTGGAATCAAACGCCAATAGAGGGGTTTAACCACTGGACGCTTGGACTGAAAACTTTTTGGTAGTTGTGCCTAGATTAGTGGAAATAGAAGCGCCGACACCAATTTACATTTCCTGCAATGTCCACACCAGTCTGTAATAATTAACGCTACAGTGTTGGGGCGACGTATTCCTCTCATATAACGGTAGCTAACATTAGCGGCTAACGTTACTTTGCTGTGGATTTCTGGGTCAAACAGATTCAGTTGCAGCTCAAATACTTGTTAGCCCCACATGGCTTGGGATCGGTATATGGGTGCCTACAAATTAGATGGAGCCTGATAGTGACACCCCCGCAATACCAGTGGCAGCTGGACACATTAAGTTACCAGTAGGAGGCACAGCTTTTATTATTGTGAATGACATACAGTAGTATTTATGATACGGACGAGAGCTGAAATGTACGTGCACCTTACAAGAAAATTATCTGAACATCAACAGGGTGGTTTCAAAGCTAGAAACAAGAGTAGCGACATTCTCTTGATGAGATCGAGAGATTTGAGATTAAAGGTCTGTTGACGGTCAACCTGAAAACTGAGGGCAAGATGATGGCATGATTTTATAGAGACATGACACATACTCGACAAGTCGTTTCTAATTCAGTTTCCATTCTGTATTCTGTATGCTTGAGATGCCTTGATGTTTATCCCACTGCCCTCCAAATATGGCAAAACTATGACAATTATACTCTCTGAACTTTCTAATTATTTTGATTTGTTGTTGTATTGTTGACTGACTTTGTTTTGTAATTGAGAGCTATAGTCCTTCCTAGTTCAAGTATAACAGATCTCTCATTGCTACTGAAATGCATCTTAGTATGTTAATATGGTATAGCCACAACTAGATGCCACTTACTAATAAAATGGGTAGCCACTGTTTTGCTTATTGAATAGTGAAAATCATGTTAATTACAGGTTAATATTACTTTGTGGTAGGGTCAAAACATGTTTTTGTAATTATTTTGACAGATATTGTAATTGCGATATGACTCACGATTAGTGTGGGAATTATCATTTTTGCAACTCAAATTGAACTTTCATTTAGAAAAACTATAAAAATCATAATGATAAAACATTTTGTGGGGTCTTTATCAAACAGACACGTTTTCTTAAATCTGGAGAAGAAGATTTGACATCACCACACTAATACAGTACTTCATTATAATGCTCTTTTGTCACACAATTTCAGGTTCTGTGATTTGCATTATGCACTTGGCCATGTTGTGATTTTGTGCAGATAAATTGTGCAGCCCTGATTTGTGGTGTCTCTCTTTGTATTGATTTTGCAGCAAGTCACATTATCATGATCGCTGAATTGACTGGTTGCATTTCATTTGCTTTTTTAGGTCCGCATAGCCGCAAACTTTGTGACTCATGCCCCTCCGGGAGAGTTCAATGAGGTCTTCAATGGTAAGAAGTAGCTGACTGTGACAAGATACCTATGATAATAATACTGTATTGAATCTAATATAATTCGCCTCTGATATTGATATTTTATTAATTGTCATAGAAGAGTGCTATGCAAACAGTGGTTTATTTTGTCTTGGTAGATGTGCGGCTTCTTCTCAACAATGACAACCTCCTCAGGGAGGGGGCGTCACAGTAAGTAACACTCAATTAAGACACAATGTCATAAATTCAAATACTCATAATGTACACAGTTAAAAAAGAACAGAGTCTCCATATGGTGGTATATTTGCAAATTGTGGTGTATTATATTAGGCACATAAGCATAGTAAGCCAGTGTTTTGGTCAGTAGAAGACAATAATTGAAAGCACATTGGTGTCATATTACAAATGCCTGTACCTTTGTGCCCATTCTATTTGTCCAGCTCCTTTGCCCAGTACAACATGGATCAGTTTACTCCTGCCAAACTAGAGGGCTATGATGAGCCGGTATGTTTTGTCCTTAAGTCTTTATTATTAATTCCAGAAGAGCAAGTGTCAAAGCAAGACTTTTTAAATCTTCCCTCTCCCTTCTCTATAGGTCTTGATCACAGAGCATGGTGACTTGGGTCAGGGACGTTTCCTGGACCCCCGCAACCGTTTGTCGTTCCGCTTCGACCACCTAAGAAAAGAGGTCAGTGACGTACAGCCATATGAAGGAGAGATGGCCCTGAGAAGCTGGAGAGATGCCTGTGATACTTCCCTTAGTGCCTATGTCAAAGAGCACTACCCTACTGGAGTCTCCACGGTAAGGCGCACAAAGAATTGTGACCAAATAGTAACCTAAGAAATAAAGACTACATTTTACCCATAACCATACTTACCCATACCATCTGTTTGTTGCAGGTATATGGGAAAACAGTTGATGGTCAGCAAACAATCATAGCCTGCATTGAGGGACATCAGTTTCAACCCAAAAACTTCTGGTATAGTGACCTCCCTGCAAACAGCTGTTTAAAAGCATATCTGAATATGTGTTTATGTAATAGAATATGTTGCTAATTTTTATAACATTACATAAATGTTATAAATGAACTGATTTATGTATGTTTTTTTATTTGTGGTGAAAGGGAAATAAGTTGTCTCCCTCAGTTTATATTAAGTTTCCTGATTCTGCTGTCTGATTTTAATCTAGTGCTTCTCTTCATTTCTCTAATACAGGAATGGTCGCTGTAGGTCAGAGTGGAAGCTTACCATTGGTCAGTCCACTGCTCAGGTGGTGGGAGTGTTGAAAATCCAGGTGAATTGAATTAAGTGTACTCATCTGCATAAATAATTAATAAGTCAAGGAGAAATATTTTTTTAGAAAGTCCTTGCTAATGAGTTTCCACTCTGTCTCCAGGTGCACTATTATGAAGATGGGAATGTGCAGCTGGTTAGCCATAAGGAGGTAGAAGAGTCAATACCAGTGACTGTAAGTAAAAGGGTTATCAACAAGCACTAAAACAGTCTTTCAGCAGTGATTTAACAATATGTTAGTTAGATAGTATAAGACTGGTTGCGTCAGTTCCAGGTATATACAGAGGAAGTCAACCATCTCTGTTGGTAGGACAAAGGGCGATGATTATATGTGTGTTTTTGAAACAGAATGAAAGCCAGACAGCCAAGGAATTTGTTGACATCATAGAGAATGCAGAAAATGACTACCAGGTAAGCTACCTTCTTAATGATTACACCTGTTTTTATGTCTAAAATTAAAGGTGTTATATCATTGAAAACATACATAAAGAAACTATATGAAAAAAGGAAATGTTTAAATATTTTACTTGATATTTGTTTCCCTCTGCTTTTTTGCCCTCAGACTGCTATCAGTGAAAACTACCAGACCATGTCTGACACCACCTTTAAGGCCCTTCGTCGCCAGCTGCCTGTCACACGCACTAAGATTGACTGGAATAAGATCCTAAGTTACAAAATTGGCAAGGAGATGCAGAATGCCTAGTGGAAGGTCAGGGACTGACCAGTGAGACACAAGCTCCACTGGGCCCACAACCCACCTATACACCGCAAGGACTAACCAAAGCAAAACTATATCAGTATGGGGCAAGGTATTAATATTTAAAAAGAAAAAAAAAAAAAGGAATAACTGAAAGATTTGCAGACTGTTAGGCACAGATATACGTCTGCTGTAAGGTTGCGGTTATGGAGATAATCATGGTAGAAAATGGTTACTTCCGGATGTGTGTTTTGAAAGAGTTGTGTTGAGTCAGTGTGCAGGGCTGTGCTCAGGACTGCTACATTAAAGAAGTAAATCTTCCTTTGGCTCTAAGGATTCACAGGCCTCTGTAGATTCAGGTTTTAGAAGTTACAATATTTCCTTTTTTTAGTCAAACTGATGCAGAACTCTGACCATCTCACAGTAAAGATCTCAGCACACGGGGAAAAGAACCAAGGCAGCTGATGAGAAAAATAAAGCACACATATCGGGGGTTTGGTTTTGGACAGGAAAATATGAATTTTGTAAAAGTTTTGGTTTCATTGTGGTCATATATGCTGGAATTGAAAGTCTTGTGCGTCTGTAAAATCGTGACATTGACAGGAAAATGAATAGCAGTCATCTGACATTTTAACTGGTACCAAGCTTATAGTATTGCTGCACTGACAACACAGTTTTACATTGCCAATGAAATTGACAGTGTTTCTATCTGTTGTTAACATTTAGGAGTAGCACAATCCTCAGCATAGCTCTGTCCCTGCACTGTAGACATTTATATGCTTGTCGGTGTCTGTCAGGGCTGAGGGAATGTTTACTTGTTTTCTGTTGTGCTCCACTGATGTACATGTTTCCACCCATGCAAGCTATGATGACTGAAATAAGATAAAGCAACTTCTATGCTGCTGCATCTATAATGCATTCTCTTTTCTCTTACTTTGGCAACACCACCTCCATTGCTGTACAGCTTTTCCTTTGTGAAAGGAAAACATACTCATATTTACCAAGATTTATTTGCCAAAATCTCTTTCCTATGGTAAAGAACTCCATCCTCCCAACCATGTATGCAAATTTCTATTTTAATACGCTGGTTTTTGTTGGAGTCCTAGAATATTTGCACTCCTAACTGTAACAAACTGTTTGTGTATTGGTCAATGCCAAGTTAACGCAAAGCAGTTGCCATGTAAGGCAAGATCATATACTGTATACATTACATGACTTCTGTAAGGCCACATCATACTGTATGTGTTACATGACTTCTATGTAGGCTGACTCTGGATCAGTTACTAGTTAGCTATACTATGTGCAGTGTTCAACCCTCACACTATACTACAACTGTGTGCCGATCAGTTATAAAGTTCAAGACTGTACTGCCCCATTCTGTGGAACAAATAAATGGATTGAACATCTTGGCTAGATTGTTATTTTCCTTTTAATGCTGTCGCACACAAATTCTTGTACATCACAGTAATCAAGATTCAGAAGATTTCCAGCTAAAATTGTTTTAATAGAAAAGCTTAGACACACAGTAAACTTTAAGGCATGGGCAATTTATTTAAAAGAGCACTAGATGTTGCAGGTGTTCATGATATGCATATTTACTAGAGACAGCTGAGGGAACATTGCCCCTCACAGACAAATGGTGTATAAATCTATCCATTTAAATTGATTGGTTGAAATAATTATTTAAAATCAATTGTTGGTCTTAAAGCCAGAAAACATAAAAAAAAAACATAAACCTAAATGAAACATCTGATGTGTAGCACTGTTAGGACAAGACAAGTACATTATTTGATAGATACTATAGAAACAACTGTTACAGTAGCAAGACGCAAACCTTCACTCCTCATTGACGGAATATCCCAAAGGGTTATCACATATTCATGATACGTAGTCCTTCTTGGTTTGGGTGAAGCAGAAATGAACCTTCCCTGAACAAAACATCAGAAATTCTAGACATAAAGTATGAGTACAGTAATGTAGTACAAAATGTGCTCTCCCTTTTCAAGATAAGATTCAGTGTATTCATAACAAGTGGAATAGAAAAAGCAGGACATGTATGTCATGTTGTTCATTCATAGAGAATCAACTATGAATCCTTTCAAATATTTACAGTATCATAGTGTTTTCATGGGCCATCTCCACAGGAACTGCATAAGAATTCACTAGAAAAACATTTAAAAACCTACTCACTAGTGTGAATGTGATAGCTACACGTTTGCTATACCCTACATCCATATATGTTAGCCCTTCTACTTGCTATACAGTTTTGCTTCAGACTAAAGTCATCTTTTTTTATTCTAAAAGGACTGGCAATTTGAGCATTAAAGGACAAGAAAAGAATGTTGTACTTTGAAATCTCGGTAACATTTCATTCTTCATAACCAAACATGGACTTTAGCTCGGTCTCTTTGTTGTTTCTAAACACCCTTAATAAGGGGCTAAAGAGGAAAATAACTGAGATAAATATTTTCATTCTATTCAAACTTATAAAAATTCTACAGAAAGGTATAAAGACTGGAACATTCATAGAAATATTAAATCAAATAAAATAATATACTATATTTTATTTCAAATAGCTCTTTTCCGATTGTTTCTCAGGTTGTGGTATAGAGGTAGGGGTGTGACAAACTCTTAAATGCATCTGTCTGAACCATCCCAGCTTTAAAGCGTCTATACTACTGATAATGAGTGCTATGAAGAGGGTTTAAGGGCTGGCAAAGATGAATATTACAGTAACTCTTGATTTCGGCCCCACTCGGCTCAGGGGGTTAGTTTGTATGGTCTGGCCGTTAGCTGCTAGAAGATAGAACCAAGTCTGGCTCCTTGGCTCCCTCCTGCCCACTGCTGCCGTGTCCACAGTTTCCTGTCAGCTCTGGGAAGAGGCTGGTTCGAGCAGAGTGACTTGGGGAGCCTGGAGTTGGACTCATGCCTGGCTTCTTGGGAGGGATGGGAGGCGGATGGGTCCTCTCTGAACGAGGAGTGAGGGGCGAGCGGATGCCCGGAGACAGAGGCCCTGAAGAAGGTGACCTCCCCCCTGGAGGAGATGCTGCTACATTGCGGTAGTCTGTACCAAATGGAGAGCTGCTGATCGGTGCCAGCTTGACGCCAGCCTGCTGGCTGGTAAAGCGGGACAGCACCTGAGTGACAGTGTTGCGAGCCAGCTGCTTAGCTGTGCTGTGCTCTGGTGGGGGAGGGATGGAGCAGGTGGTGGGGGAGAGGTCCCTGGGGGAGAGAGGGCCGCTGTGCTGCTGCTGCTCCAGCTCAGCCTGGCTCTGGAACTTGTGTCTGGCGGCCTGGAATCGCTGGTTGACTCCAGCCTGGTAGGAGGACTGATGGAAGCCTGGGCTGCCCAGACGTTTGGCAAGAACGGGGGAGGAAATGGGGGAAGAGGAGAGGGAAGAGGAGGCTGTACTAGAGGGAGAGTGAGGATGAGGGTGAGGATGAGGGTGAAGAGGGGAATGCAAAAGTGCTCCTGCCCCATTCTCTACCACGCCTCCATTTTCTGCTCCTCTTCCTTCCTGTGCCGATTCGGTCTCTTTATGAGCGTGATAGCCGTTGACCTTTGACACTGAGGCAGATTTAGGAGTGGCAGTTACCTTTCCATCCGGCTCAGTCTGAACAGAAGTGGACACCAGTAACATCTTGGAAAGTGACTCTTTCACCTCTGTCATATCTTCCTTTACCTCTTCTTTACATCCTCCAGCTTCAGCCAACCTCTTCCTCAGCTCCTCCAGCTGTCTCTCAAGCTCCCTACTCCTCTCCTCCTCTTTGCTGATCCTGGATTTCATCTGCTCTCGCTCCGTGTCAAACTCGGCCAGTTGCCTCTCAGACACGGCCTCTAGCTGGGATGCCCTGCTCCTCTCATCTTCAAGAACCCCCCGGAGCTTCTCCAGGGCACCGGTCTCCTCCTGGAGCAAGGTGCGAAGTTGGAAGACCTTATGAGCCTCCTCCTGCGCCAGGTTGCTGGCTTTCTGGAGCTCCATAGACAGAGTTGAGGAGAGCTGCTGCTGCTGGGACAGTGACTCTTCCACCTGGCTCACTGCCTGTGTTTGTTCCTTCTCCAACTTCCGTACTGTTGCACGCTCCACTTCCAACTAGAAAGAGAGGGAGAGAAATACTGGAGTCAAGGCAAGGCAGCTTTTCCACTTTTGACCACAAGGAGGCAAAAGAACACTGCTTTGTTGCATTAGATCCAACACAGGATGAGAAACCTGCTTCTTTTTTGAAAATACACTTGTTGTTGTACAACTGTCTTCAAAGAAGGAGTTTTCAGTATAAAACATTTGGAAATGTATTTTGCACCAAACCCATTACAACTGTATACTATAAACTGTGTTTTTTATAAATGTTCAAATTGAACTTATTTCTGATTATTTCAGGTCTACTGATAATGTTTTACATTTTTCCATTATTTGCCAATAACAGCCATTATACTGGCTCTACTGACTTTACAATTCCATTCAAATAGCTTATTTGAAACATATTAAGTGGTATATAAAACATGTATTATTTGGTTTGTTTGACACAAAGCTTATAAAAATGGGACTCACACAAAGCACTGAGATTCAAAATGGCTGACATCCCTTGTAGGTAATTCCTGTTTCTTTCCCAACTATCTTGCCCCTATCCACATATTGTCTAATAAACTATATTAGGTCCACTTGAATTATACAGAATTAGGAGAATTAATAAGATGATGGACAGTCTGTGCTATTCAGTCAGAAAAGAAGCAGAGAGAGAAGGGGTTGTTCATGTTTTGCCTTGTTAAAGAATTATTTGCTTGCGGGGCATGTTTATGGAAAGTTAATTTTGTCATGAGGTCATTAGAGGCTGACTAGGCTGCCTAAAAGCTTTGATGAGTAA